AATTAACAGGAGAAAAAGCATAACTGACATCCATTATACATGGCACGTGGAAGTAGAAGAGTCTACCCTAGTAAGCGAAATAAAGGGTTCAGTTCGACATTCCAACCACATGAAGAAGACCGGAGCGTACAACGGTCGAAACGTTGTAATAATTATGGCGACAAAGATGAGGACAATAATCCGAATAATGTAAATAATGAAATATGATCAGTTCGACAAGGTGACATTGGTAGGGGATATAAAAAAAATTTACCTACATTTTGTTGTTAACTGGGACAATAAGTGGTTTGTTAATTTTATAGCATCCAGAAAGAAACATCTCTCTATAAACAAACTGAAAGGCCTCTTCTTGCTACTCATCAGAATGGCTGTCGCTAACCTTCAGGAGATTGACACGTTACACCTTCTCGATCAAAAATTCTCAGGTGATATGAAGTGGAAAAACAATATTGTATCAATATTGTATTCCACTTCTTATCACCTGAGAATTCCTAGGTCTGCTGCTAAGAAAGTTATTGTGTTGTGCAAAACACATTTTCTTCTCCAGAGACTATCTTATATATTTATAAATCTACACTTAATCTATGCTATGTATATTACCATATTTGGTCCGGTGGTGCCAATGTATATTTAGCGATTTTTGAGAAAATCCAAAGAATAACCAGCGATTATTATTGGTCCGAATTGACACCTCGGCTTCATTCACGTTCCCACTGCCGTAATCTAGGTTTCCTGTGTCTTTTCTATGAATAATTCCATGGTAATGTTTCACATGAACTCTTCGCTATGGTACCTATACTTTATGATATTAAGCACAGTACTAGATTGGCTGTTAGGTCTCATCAATTCACAGTTGAATTTGTTAGATTTTACCGTAAGTTCTACGCGATTTTGAAATACTTTTCCGGTTCCATAATTTCCAGGCAACATTGATCTTCAAAAATTTAAAAGTAAGTTCAATGACTATCTTCTGCATTCTTGATTACTCATTATAAAGGGTGTTTTATTAAGACGGTTTATATATATATACGGGTGTTACATTAAGACGGATCTGTAGTCAGCAGTAAATAAGTCAGTGTTATTGGTGATAATTTATTTCTCTACTGGATCATGTTATTTAAGTTATGGCAATTATGTGTGAAAAATAATATCACCCAAATATCCGCAAAATCTGAAAAAAAAATTATTAGACGCTTAAACTTAATTTACATTTAAAATCGGTTCGTTACTGGAACAACCTTTACATATATATATATATATATATATATATATATATATATATATATATATATGTTTTTATACTAAGATTTGTATATATATATATATATATATATATATATATATATAAAAATCTATGTATAAAAAAATACATCTATGTATTGTATATAAATATATATATATATTTATATATATATATATATATATATATACAAATCTATACATTAAGAAATGGACAAAGTCCGACAATTTATTAAAGACATTATTTATGTTTAACATTCTTTTTATAGATACAAATATTTTAGTAAATGCTCTGTTTATAATAAACAGTATTGAATAACATTTACCGGCCTGAATGTCCGAGAAATTTTCATAGAAAATATTCGTCCTTTGACAGGATTCGAACCTGCATCCTATACGAAACCGTCATTTAAAAAAATGTTTTTAATACAAATCTATATATAAAATACATATATTATATATATATATAGATGTATTTTTATACATAGATTTATATATATATATATATATATATATATGTGTGTGTGTGTGTGTGTGTGTGCGCGTGTGTGTTTTGAAAACGGTGATTCATTAAGAGAGATTATACATGAGGCTGTTTCGTTAAGATGGATCAATGTCTGCAGTAAGAAAAATCTGTGTTATTGGTGAAAATTTGTTTATTTCTCTATTAGATTATGTTATTTAAGTCTTGGAAATTTGGGGTGAAAAATAATATCCTCCAAATTTTCGCCAAATTTGAAAAAAGAAAAAAAATCATTAGACACTTAAGGTTAATTCACATTTAAAATCGATCCAATTTATTGGATCACCTTTTACTTCTCGCTCCTTAGCGGTATTTCTTATTTTCTTTTTTGTATTTCTTCCTCAAAACTCAATAATCCTTTGCCTGGGTAATATGATTAAAAAGAGGTAAGTAAAATATGAGGCAGGTGTTACTTGCGTACCCCTCCATTGTCTTATTATGTATCAGTGATAGGTTTTATATTAATGTGTGTACATAAATATCGTTTGTTGCTACTTCAGACTGACAGGGTCACCATTTTCCTCCTTTTTTTTTTACCCTAACGTTCACCCTGTAAAAGGCACGGGGTGGGACACTCGAACTATATGGTTACGTTAAAGGGCAGTTTATATAAATAGGAGAGGAAGATAACCGTTACCTCTACACTTGGCTTGATTAAGATTGTAGCAACCGGGAAAACATCACCTTGGAAGTCTGTTCCACAGAGCAGTGATTCACGGGAAGTAAATTTTCGATTGGAATCTGCTTCTCAACGATGATATACGGAGGTAATACAGGTTTTTTTGCTATAATGTAAGTCGCATGTCGGGTCCTAGCCGTGAAGATTACGCCTGGCGGAATCAAGGAATGTATTTTTCTCGAGCACTTTCCATGGAAGTAGCGATAGACCAGTGAGAGACTCGCCACATCCCGCCTGTGAGAGAGAGAGAGAGAGGTTGGAGGGTGGAAAATAATTTGTCAGCCACAAGGAATTGGAGACACTTTTGGACTCTATTAAGACTAGAGAGTGTATGTGTTCCCGCTCAAATATGACAACCGTGCTTTATTTTCAGTTTAATCTGGCTCTTGCAATAGGTAGATGACAGCAGGAGGAGCCAAGTACTTACTGAAGCGATACAGGGACGACTACTATTTTCCCGGCCTCTTTAGCATTTTCATGGAATAGCGTAAAAACGGGTCAACTGGGAATGTTCGTGCTTGGACTACAAAATCTCAGATAATTCGCAGTGTGAGAAGATATGTAAGCTGACGAATGGCACACGCGCCAATATCCAAATATTATCGAAGGGTCATCGTGGAGAGCGTGTAACATGTTGAAAGTTCCGAAACCCCTAATAATCCTCAGCTAAGAACGTCACTGATGATAAGTTTTCAAATTGTAATTTTCTTAACATATGATTTCGTTTTGGCGGACTTCACCACATTTAACTTAGATTAGGAATTCAAACTGACGTGAAGAAAAAGAGGATAAGCCAAAGACATGATTACACATAAAATTTGTATTTAACAAGATGTACAAACAACGATGAGAAAAAAAAAGCATGCATTGAGTAAAACAAGAGTTGTCTCTCTTTAACTATCAATTGTTCCAAAGTTCACTGAAAGTAATAAGGTTTTAATAGTTTCTGGTAATAAATATTTTCAACAGTATTGCTGTGTAAGAAAAAAATATTATGTGAGTATAGGGAATATTCAGCATGTGAGTGGTGGTGTGAGTGAGAAGAATGGCGCATAGTTTCAACTGTTGTGGATGTCTTAGGCAGCTGTGATCTCACTGGTTTACTAAGAATTTTCTTTGCTTATATAGGTGATCATCGGCTCTGAAAGCGCTGCTCGGGAAGAATCACTCATCACGTGCAGACAATCCGATTGGTTGGCATTGACCAATCAGCGAGCGAGCTTTGGGGAGATTCACAAAAAGCTTCTGGGATCCTAATTCTCCCAAAAGTGCACGAAATCGACTACATGAAAATATAGTGATTATAAAATTGTTGCATTACACAGTAGTGTTGATTTACTATCCAATGAATGCTTGTTGTTGTATAATTTGAATTTTCATAAGTATGTATGCATGTGTGTGATGATGATGATCGTCACAACCTCCTTTTAAACTGAACCCAACTCACCTCAGCTGAGGTGGAACAAATACATTGAGTCAATTGCCTCGTCCAGCGCAAGGAAAGTTGGCTCCCTGTGCCGCGCCAGGAAATTCTCCTCCCCGGAATCGATCCTCCAGATCTACAAATCAGCAATTCGCCCTTGCATGGAGTATTGTTGCCATATATAGTCAGGGGCCCCTTCTGTTTGCCTCGGCGTTCTTGATAAGATCCAGAGGCGGATATGCAATATAATTGGCCCTGTTCTGGCATCTCGTCTACAGTCACTTTCTCACAGACGCGCTGTCGCCTCTCTCTGTCTGTTTTACAAATACTTTTCTGGACAATTGCTCCGAGGAGCTGCATTCGCTGGTTCCTGACTTCATGAGTTCAAGCGCCCCACAGAGGCTGGCATCCCGCTCTCGCCCTTTTACTGTCGAAACTCCTAAATGTAGCCGTCTCTTCTACTCCAATAGCTTCATGTCTCGCATCTCTCGCCTATGGAACTCCCTTCCCTATTCCAGTTTCCCTGAGAGCTATAATCTCCAGCTATTCAAATGTAACGTCAATCGACATCTCCAGTTGCCTTGATCTATCCACTACCCTTCTCCTCACCCTTTCTTCTATCACTCCTATCTGATCTTGCTCCAAATTTTCTGTAACCCCTTGCGTCCTAGTGGCTTCCCGGCTTGCTTGGGGTGAAACGCTTAAAAAAAAAGTACGCAAGGATAGATTATATGTAGACGTTTGGTCATCGCCTGAATAACTACTCCAAACGTGGAGACTAGGTAAAGAAACTCTTTTATATTTGGAAATTTTCTATATCCAAGAGTGTTATTGTTCAGTCTGTATCTTATAATCTCAACAGGAATGTATTAGAGGCATTTACACTCTCGTATGATTACCGGGTTTTTATTTTGTGCTTTTGTCTTTTTTTTTTCTTTCTCTCATTTTTACAGCGATTCAGAATTTGAAAATGCCTTCATGACTTCAGGTTAATTTAATATGCTTTTTAAAACTGATCCTGGGACCAAATAGCGTAGAAAATATTTATGGCGTCAGTGTCTGTGTGGACAGAGGTTCTACGCGCCGTGGAATCAAGCAATCGATATCATTATCACCAAAAAGAGCGAGGAAGGAAATTAAATGGCAAATACTTTAACCGCTATATAGAGCAAAATGATAGATAGATAGATAGATAGATTAAGAAAATGAGATAGATAGATAGATAGATAGATAGATAGATAGATAGATAGATATGAATAAACTTAGATAGATAGACATGAAGAGAAAAAAAACAGATAGATATACAGGTAGTATGAAATGGATTAAGTCCGACAATTATTTAATATATTTTCTGTTTATACGTTATTTTTTATAGATATAATTTAAATTTACTTAAATTGTATCAATTTAACCTTATTTATGTTAATTTAAATTAGTCTGCACTTGAGTTAAATGAATTATATCTATAAAAATAACGTATGAATAGAAAATATATTAAATTGATAGATATGAACAGAAGGTCATAGATAGATAGATAGATAGATAGATAGATAGATAGATGAATAAACTAATATACATTGATAGATAGATGGATAGATAGATAAAGATATGGATATAATTGTATAGATAAAGATATGAATAAACTGGTATAGATAGATTAAATTATAAATAAACTGAGATAGATGGATAGATGAATAAACTAATATAGACAGATAAAAATATTAATAAAATAATAGAGCTAGATCGATAGATAGATAAAGATAAATAAAACTGATATAGGTAGATAGATACATAGATAGACAAGCAGACAGACGGACAGATAGATAGATAGATAGATAGATAGATAGATAGATAGATAGATAGATTAAATTATAAAAAAAAAACTGAGATAGATAGTCTAAAATACAGAGATAGATAGATAGATTGATAGGCTACTTTGCAAATAAACTGACATAGATAGATAGATAGATAGATAGATAGATAGATAGATAGATAGAGTTATGAATAAAACTGATATAGATAGATATATAGATATATAGACAGACAGACAGATAGCTAGCTAGCTAACTAGCAAGCTAGATAGATAGATGTATAGATAGATAGATTAAATTATAAGTAAACTGAGATAGATAAACAGTCTAAATTACAAATAAACTGAGATAGATAGATAGATAGATAGATAGATAGATAGATAGATAGATAGATAGATAGTGAATAGCCTGGGATAGATAAGTAGATAGATAATGAATAGCCTGTGATAGATAGATAGATAGATAGATAGATAGATAGATAGATAGATAGATAAAGTGATGAATAAAACTGATATAGATAGATATATAGATATATAGACAGACATACAGATAGATAGATAGATAGATAGATAGATAGATTAAATTATAAGTAAACTGAGATAGATAAACAGTCTAAATTACAAATAAACTGAGATAGATAGATAGATAGATAGATAGATAGATAGATAGATAGTCATGAATAAAACTGAGATAGATAGATAGATAGATAGATAGATAGATAGATAGATAGATAGATAATGAATAGCCTGGGATAGATAGGTAGATAGATAATGAATAGCCTGTGATAGATAGATAGATAGATAGATAGATAGATAGATAAAGTCATGAATAAAACTGAGATAGATAGATAGATAGATAGATAGATAGATAGATAGAAAGAAAGAAAGAAAGTTTTCGACAGACTGCGACTGCTAATATGTAGCAGGGAAATATTGCACTTTTCTTCCACTTTCCTTTCCTGTCATTTCCTTAATAATCTCGACACTTGATTTTTTGCCGACTCTCGAACATCGATTGCAGGTACTTGCGAAAAATGAAATTAAAATTCTTGCTTCATAACTTAGTTCAGTGAAAAAGTTCATCTTTACTAAGAATTGAATACACACACACACACCTCTCTCTTTCTTTCTCACACACACTCTCTCTATCTCTTTCATACACAGAGAAACACACACATACCCCTATATATATATATATATATATATATATATATATATATATAATAAAATAAAAAAAAAATCAGTTGATATATAAACCAAAATGGAACCTAGCTATATGAAAATATTAGAACTGATCCACAAAAAAAACTTGATATATTTTATTTAATTTATACAGAGCAATATAATTAATAAGCAAATAAATCATTTTACCGTATATAGGGAAGAGGCTGCTTGGGCAGACGACGAATGTGGTCGTCTGTCATTTTAATCCCCCTCTCATTCCATATTCCATTAATTCCTTACAACCTTTTATCTATATATTTTAAAGTTATTTGAAACCTCTTCTTATTCCGCTTCTAATTTTAAATTAATATTCTTCAAACAACCCCAAATTAATGTGATAATTTTAATATTTGATTTTAATTTTATAAAACCTCTTCCCTTTCTCCTTACTCGTGCCTTACGTCTGAATGAAACATTGAAATTGATAAATTCTGTATTAGTTTTTCGATTATTATTTTTTTTTAGCTTTCACAGTTAAATTTCTATTTCTGACACGTACACAGTCCTCACCTGGGTTGATTAGACAGACGACCGATATTTTCGTCTGCTGAAATAGGCTATTCCCCATATGAGATGATTTTGGGTTTTATTACTTAATAAATACATTGAGCTCTTTTTGTGGATCAGTTTTAATATTTTATATTTCTAGGATCCACTTGAATTATATAGCAACGGATTTGTTACCTTCACCATATATAAGTTCTATGTTTTGTTTTTATTTGTTTGTCTACGTCACGTGATACTCTATAACAACTTTGTGTGTGTTTAATTCTTGAATTATTAACGCAGTTTGAGTGTATGTTAAAAATTAGGTTGCATTTTTTTTTTTTTTTTTTTAAATTAGCACTTTTTTCCCCTAATCATTTCATTCCAAATATGGGAAAGTGGCTTAACGCGAGATGCCAGGTCAGGGCCTGTGGCACCATTTACCGAGGCAGAAAAAGAAAAGAAAGAAAAGAAGGCAAAAGAGAGGCGAGACCCAAAACGTGGATAATAAGCAGAACACCACGGCTAAGAGACAATGGATAAAAGGATATTTTGATAAGTAACAAATGGCGAAAGAGTGTCATTACAATGACAGGGAAATTCTGAGTGGATAAAGGAATCAGGTGTGTTTTGGCGACGACTGTGTTATCTGGGATACGTAAATAAACTGCTGGCCGACTGTCCAAAGAAAATCCAAATGAAAATGTTATTTCGATAAGTGACGAAAAAACAGGTGGACTAAAGGGCTTTAGATAGATATGAAATATTAAAAGCCGCACACGATGTGTCCACTGACCGATTTCTTTCGACGGAACATCTTTAGCCTGCGATAATAAAATTATGTTATCAAAAATGTGTACTAAAAAAGAAATGAATGAAAACTTAGAAATGTCTTTTCGGGGCGACGTCTGGCCGTGTTAAAAAGACCACCCATTCGGATAATTAGCGATAAGATGCCTGACGAAGCCCAGGTGTAGAACAAGAGTTATGACCACCATCGTTCATATTGTCCTGTTTGCGGCTAGAGAAAATGATAACTGCGGTTAAGAGGAAGAAAAGGAAAAAAAAGATTTTTTTTTTTTTTAGTTAAGCAAGATATTTTTTTTTTTTTCTGAAACAAAGCCGCGGATTCGGCCACGCCCGACTAAGACATCATTGGTCAGTGGTGATCACGTGACGCACAAAGGAGGCTGTCGCCATCCATCCAGAGGATAGGTATGAGAAGCTGCTACGAAGAGTGGGGAGGGCAGCTCACGCCCTTCTGAAGTATGGTGAGAAGGTGGGAGTAAGAAAAAGGCTCCCCAAAATGGAAAAAAAATGTAAAATTCTAACCAGAAATAAAAAAGGTGGATATGTATTTAGAATTATCGATGAGCCCCGACGCCGACAAACCCACCCCGGTTTTGGTCGGCGTCCATATAAGCGAAGCCGCAGCGAGCAGAAATCAGTTCGAGTTGGAGTTGCAGCAGAGAGTTCGAAGCTCGCAGTGGAAGTTGGTTCCATCTCGCAGATAGCTGACTTGAAAGATTCACGCACATTCCGGACTCCTCTTCAATCCAAGAACAATTATTTTGAAGAGTGACTTAGATTCAGACCACCAAAATAAGTTTTTTTCGACTTTTGCCCGAAGACACACCGAAAAAACAATTTCTTAAAGAGCAAACAACTTGAAGCGTTAAAACTTGCCTAACGGAAAACGACCTGTCACAATCCATAGAACGGGTCGGGAGATAGACGCAGTCCTATGTATCGAACAACTAGACATTAAGTTTATCTTTTTCTTTGATACCTTGAAGTTTTTCATTTTTTTTTTCTTTTATGCATATTTGTGGTGTCACCCCGTTGAACCTGATTTGCATTACGGCCCCCAACTGATTGATCTCGTCTGCCTAAGATCAATTCACAACGTGGGTAGGCAGACTGGAGATCAATGCAGTTACTTTGGTAACCAGGCGTTGGAGGCGAGTTGGGAACGACGAGGCTGATATCAAATCTAACAAGATTCCACCCGAATCACCAAAGGTTAGAACGTCACATTTGGGTGCCGCGACCGATACCAAGCCAGTTGGTCGTCACAGGACGAGACAACATGACTGACGCGACAGGCGGACGTCACGTTTGGAGCAACGACACCCGAACGGGACAGCGAGGAGCGAACAGCTGGCGCCGCGGCGGACCCGTCTGATTGGTGCCGTGGTAGACCAGGATAGGACGTCACATTTGGCGCTGCGACCAGGGACGACGTCACAGCCACTAACATAGCAGATTCTTTGGATTTTATCAAGAATCTCTAAGGATATAGCAGGAGCATTAGACCAGATATGATGGCAATATGCAAAGCAAAACGAAAGGTAGTCTTCTAAATATGTATTATAGTTTTCTGGCGAGAAAATCTGTTTAGCAGTGTACAGTGAACCAATTTTAGGAGCTGCAGACTTTGAAATGAAATGAAATTTGTAATTTAAATTATGAACTTTTGTGGAAATTTGGAAACACATGCCATTCGCACCGGAAGCTACAATACAAACATTTCAGAGTGTTTGTGTGTTAATCTGAGGACAGTGCAGAGGATTCGGAAAGAGTTGGATGAGTTTAATGGTGATTACGAAGGTGTTTGTAAATGTGATACCCAGTAGCTTCATGGGATTTCTCAATGGAGTCCTATTTTGTGTTCATAAATATAGTCTTTATATTCTAGAGCTCTCACCCGTATATTTCTAACGGTGTTCAGCCAATTTATCTTATTTATCTACCTTCCGAGGCGTTGCTCATTATATGTTTGTTTTTTACCTGGTCAGTCTTTCATTGTCTTGGAGTTAGTGATTATAATCCAAGAATTAAACAGAAATACAGAACCACCGAGTGGCAATCACACAACCAATGATAACAAACAATGATGCATTCATATATAAATATTGATACAGAGGTTGACCATTACACTTTAAAAAATACATACACACGTCGCTATGCACTAACTTTATAGAATTCAAGGAGAGATGGTTAAATTTTATATTTTATTTTATATTTTATATTTTTAATTTTGCATTGTTTGTTTTTGATTTTGTTGACTGCACATTATAGTCGGGTTAGTTGGGTACTATTTATAAGAAAAAGAATACCATGAAGCAATTCACTGCGCCAGAAATTTGGAAACACTTAGCATTCGCACCGGAATCCCCAATACAAACATTTCAGAGTGTTTGTGCGTCAATCTGAGGACAGTGCAGAGGTTACGGAAAGAGTTGGATGAGTTTAATGGTGATTACGAATGTGTTGGATTAATCACTAGTGATGACAACGTTATGCCTGCCTTCATCTTGTTATAGGTCCTCAGACTCAACACAGAGACCTACAACAAGTGCCTTGAGGTGACAGTACTTACCCGAGTGTGGCTGCTGGAACTCTATATCTGGCAACAGGAGTCTGCACCATGCCACAGATGCAGGAGAACCCAGTCATGACAGTCAGACAATTTCTTCGACCACATCACTCCTTATATCTGGCCACAAAACTCCCCACACTGCAGCCCCCTTAATTATTATGCGTGGGGCACAGTTGAGTTAGAGACCAACAAAACTCCTTGTAACACCAAAGATTATCTGGAGACAAGTTTTATGGCAACACTCACCAATTGAAAAAGGAGAGCTTTCAAAAGACTTGCAGGAGACTCTGAAGTCATGTGGAGGCCGTGGTTGCAGCCAATGGCGATTTTATTGAATAAATTTACTCGTTCATATTTCTAGGTATTTTTTGTGTAATTTTGGTTAATATATCTATTAAAATATTGTGTTAGTGTTATTTTTATTTTAGCATTTAGACGACAATTTATTCATCGCAACCTGTAATCACATGACATTTACACAACCAATAAAATAAAAGTTTTAAAGAATTTAAAACCTGGGACAACTCCACATTATTCGACTTCTGTATTTGTGATTAAAACATCTTAAATGCATAAAGGTTTTTGTCGGATTTAACCCATATAGGAATCCGTTTGAAACAATGAGCTGAGAGAAGGACTCTCCTTAAATAGGTAATTCAAATCCTTCTCTCTCAACTTGATCTCCTTGATAAAAATCCGTTATCTTATCGGAGCTCAATCTAGGCTGGTTTTCATTAATTCCACTTTTTAAGAATATATATATACCAGGTGTAACAGCAGAATTGTCAGATTGTGAGATCAATCTTAGAACTCTAATATCTTAGAAGTGATTAAGGATATCTTATAGGAATTATCCGGGGCTTTTGTAAACCTATTGGACTCTATTTTAGGCAATAAGAATGTATAATTTATCTCAAAGCTTAACAGAAGAATCGTGATGAAATCGATCATAAACGAAAATGATAGGTTAATCATTAATTTTTTTAAGCATTCAACCCTGTTATAGTGGAACATAACTATTCTATAGTTAATAGACTCTCCCACCTATAATAAGTAGGAGTAGTAATAGTAACGAGCAGTCGCGCAGTGGGTCGGTCAGTCAGTCGATGCCGGACGACCGTTTGTCGTATACTAAAGTATCAGAAACCACAACTAGATTTCACTGCGTCATGCCTATTATATGAAGTACCTAACGTTTTGTACGTCGAACCTATTTTAGGACCGGCTTAGTACAAATACAAACCTCCACGGTGAAATCACTCCATAACAAACACCAAGCAAGGCGGAAAGCCACTAGCACGCAAGGGATTACAGAGAGTTGGAGCAAGAGCAAATAGGAGTAATAGAGGAAAGGATGAAGAGAAGGATAGGGGATAGATCAAGGCATCTGGAGACGTCGATTGACGTTACATTTGAATAGTTGGAGATTATAGCTATCAGGAAAACAAGAAATGGGGAGAGAGTTCCACACATGAAGCTACTGGAGTAGAGGAGACGGCTAAATTTAACAGTTTCGAAAGTGAAAGGGTGAGAGCGAGATGCCATCCTAGAAGAATGCTTAAATTCATGAAATCTGGGAACCAGCGAAAGCAGCTCATCGGAAAGTATTTGTAAAAAAAAAACAGAGGGAGGCAACGGCACGTCTGTGAGAGAGCGGCTGCAGATGAGATGCCAGATCAGGGACAATTACATTGCATATCCGTCTCTGGACTTTATCAAGAACCTTGAGACAATTAGAAGGGGCTCCAGAACATATATGGCATCAATACTCCATGCAAGGGTGAATGGTTGATTTATACATTTGAAGGATCAACTTCGGCGAGAAAAAATTCCTGGCGCGGCACAGGGAGCCAACTTTCCTATCGGTGGAGGAAGCTATTGACTCAATGCATTCGTTCCATCTCGGGTCAGTGGACAAAATGAGACCGAGCAGTCGCAAAGAGGTGCTCTTGTGAAGTTGAGCGTCAGACATTCTAATGCGTGTGGGGATGGTTCTCTCTGGTGAGTAATAGAGAGCAGTTTTGTTTTTGAGGCATTAAAGTTAACCAGCCAATTCCTGCCCCAGTCCATTACCGATTGGAGGTCTTTTTCAAGACAAAAGGCCAGGTTAGTTTTGTCGGCGACACTAGATTTGTTTTTGAGACAGGAGTAAATAATAGTGTCGTCCGCATAGATGCCTACTTGGGAACCTATGATATACAATACCTCAGGATCAGAGGCTCATGAACGATTGAAATAAAGTTCAAATATATCATTTTCCAACTTATTCAAGATGATCTTCGCCCTCTCTAACCTTCTACCTTTTTGGCCTGGAGTAACACGGTGCCTCACAAATTTCACGTACGATGTTTTTCACTGCTCTTTGGACTGCTATGGTTGAGACTCCCCTCTCACGTGCCAAACGCCATATGGATTAGGTTGGATCTTTTCTAATTGATCTCTTTAGCTCTAAGTTGAAATGATGATCCCTCTTCCTGTTGTGACCTTCTAATCGAATTTTCCCCTCTACTGGTCCCTCTTTTTTTAAACTTATTAACCATTCTATTGATCGTTACTGAAGAATAAAGCTAGATTATGAATGTTGGCACCATAACTGAAGGACCTGAATTATCTTTTTCCTCTCACCATTGCTGAGTTTTGAACCTGTTCTCATTCTAGCTGAATTATTCAAAGTGTTTCTCGGTGATTCTTACAACAAATGGCGTCAAGATGGCTAAACGTCCCATCTGAAAATGTGGAAAAAATAAACTCAATTAGTTTAGTGCATAAACTAATTTTGTAGGATGGACAATTATGGCATGGTGTTAGACGATTTGGACAATTTCCTATTTGCACCAGGTATATATACATATATATATATATATATATATATATATATATATATATATATATATATATATATATATATATATATATATACTGCCCTACCAGTTTGCTAACGTTCATTTTTGAAAATCTTGGCCGAAAAGATGCCTTAAAAAGTATGACTTCCAAATTGTATTTCCTTATTCTGTAGATATCCATCATTATATATATATATATATATATATATATATATATATATACTAGTCTACCACAGCCGTCAAAATTGACGGCAAGAAGTTATGTATTATAATTATATATGTATTATATTGTAAGTGATTTTCGTTTAATCCAAATACCATTCTGTCTTTTAAGATAGTCGGTTAATAACTTTGTGTGTTCTTGAGAGTCGAGTTTGTTGAGGAATTACAACATCATAGTCGACCACACACTACAAGACACTTCGAAGAATTTATGTGAAGTTTAAAGTTAGTCTGGCATATATTTATCTCCTCTCTCTGTCTCTTTCTATTTCCCCCTCTCTTTTTCTTTCTTTCTTCCTTTCTTTCTTTCTTTTATTTGTGGACCTATTTCTTTTCATGGCTACTTTACGTCACTCCTTTCGCTTGATCGTAGTCTGCAGAAAGATTGAAATAAGCGGGTTCCTTTGTAGTTTGTCAGCACGTTAGCATTTTGCGTGTGGACGTGAAGGGGGTCATGACTTCTGTGCGTCTCATGGCAAAATTTTGTACACTACCCCATAATTTTTACACACAAAATACTTAGAGAGAGAGAGAGAGAGAGAAAGAGAGAGAGAGTGAGAGAGAGAATTCATTTGGAGAAGTATATCATTTAGATTAGTGGTGTTGGTTCACTCATGTCAACTACGTAGTTTCGTGAGGACATCAAGATAACATGTTCACTCTTCAGGGCATATATATATATATATATATATATATATATATATATATCGAAATAAAAGTGTAAAATTTAATATTACAAGACATATTAAAACAATTACAAGACATATTTTTTTCCATCTATTCTTATTGTACATTTCTCTGTTTTAATTTTGAATCTCCCGTGGAAGCCTGATGAGCGGGAGCGAAACCGGTTGTTCCCCCCCACTTGTTGTTGAGTTTCTTTTTTTTTAATTTAATATTGTTTTAATATGTCTTGTAATATTAAATTTTACACTTTTATTTCGATCATTAAAAAAAATATCTTTAAATATATATATATATATATATATGTGTATGTGTGTGTGTGTGTGTGTGTGTGTGTGTGTGTGTGTGTGTGTGTTCTGTGTGTGTGTGTTTATGTATTTATATATATTTATATATATATATATATATATATATATATATATATATATATATATATAAATATAAAAAAAAAAAGAACAGTAAGATATATAATCCGATGTTCTTATAGATGTTTTATTTTTTACAAAATAGTGTTCAATGTAAATTTACAATGCATTAATATTATAAATTAATTGATTTAAAATATGGTTTTAATATATTATTATATATTTTAAATATATTATTATATATTTTTTCTATATTATTATATATTTTAAATCAATTAATTTATAATACATATATATATATATATATATATATATATATATATATATATATATATATATAAATGTTGAAACAGGGACTTCATACCTCCGGCCAACACTTCGTCAGAAACAAGGTTTGGCGTAATGTATGATGAGAAGAAACAAAAGGAGAATTCACACAGTAAATAAAAAATAAAGTAAAAAACACGAGACGGGAAAGTAAGTTTATGGAACACGATTAAAATATATTTATTGGTAAAATAATTTACGAATAAAAAGTGAATGGTTCCAAGTGAGTACAAAGGGAAAAAAATCGTACTCACAATCCTCCTAAAGGATTAAGGGAGTGGACGTTCCTCCTGTTTGCAAAGAGCCGATTGCTGTAACTTAGATAGATAGAAAGATAGATAGATATGAACAGAGTGAGATAGATAGATAGATAGATAGATAGATAGATAGATAGATAGATAGATAGATAGATTGTATACCTTTAAATTAATAAGAAATAATGTCCGATAAAATCCCCTTTTCATGTTTCAGGTACAAAACCGAAACAAGGTGATATCTTTTCAAAAGAGAAATCTGCATTCCTTAAATAGGTCATACAAACATTGCTCTATCAGGTCGGTCTCCCTGATCAAAATAATAGCGGCGCTTTTCAATTGAAGAATTGGTTTTCCTGTGATAAGAAAATGGATATATGTTCGATTCTTGTCGGTGGCACTCTTTTCCTGTTTCAATCTCGTCCAGTTGTTTCACTATTTTCGAAAATTATAGGAAAAATTTGGCAAGACTATTCAAAACGTGTGTCCAATAATAAAGAAAAAAAAAGTTTATATCAACAAGAAAAATACAGATAACTCTATTGTTTTAATAATTTAAAAAGTAAATAAAAATGAAATTAAATAAATTAAGAAATAAAGAGAAAAAAAAACAACAAAAAACACGGAACATAGCTATATTTCAAAAACTTTAGAAAACCCTAGAATATTCTGGAACGGTAATTTAAATATACACCCTTGTGCAAATTAATTAAAACAATCATTTTTGTATCCTTTCGTTCACCATACGGCCCGATTACGGTTAGATTATATATAATCTAATGTTGGACATAGACCAATGAGTGTAGGTACGTGCCAACATATGTGTGTGAGGAAATGTATGCTTATCTGACGGGGCGGACGGCCGATCTGAAAAACTCAAGACGACCACCACCTTCTTGTTAAGTAAAATTTGCTACATATGTAAACGTTACAGTGTCAACAGCGAAATAGAATGACAATTGTGTGTGTATATATATATATATATATATATATATATATATATATATATATGCTCGAACGCATGGATGTGTATCTGAGCCTAACCTCACACTATTTTATGGGTGTGTTTGTACGAAGTAAAATGTGTACACCTGTACGTATGTGTGTCTATGTATGTCAGAGTGTCATGCCAATCAGACACAGAAGAAAATGCCCCCCTCCCACCATCGAACTTAATTCAAAACAAACAAGAATAAATAGATCCAATTTAAAAAAAGAATAAACCACTTTGTCTGATGTTTGCAAAGCCGTGAAACCCAGGGTTACAAATTAATATCCATACAACTGAATATGTTAGCTCTATCACAGATAGTGAGAACTTTCTACTAAGTACTGCGCATATATATATATATATATATATATATATATATATATATGTATATTTAGTTGGATTTATGTGACTTATGATCGCAAATAACGTGAAACACAGGGTCACAAATTCACATCAGTCAAACTAAATCTATTAGCTCTGTCACTGATATTCCAATTTTACTGCGCATATATAATATATAAATAATATATATAAATCGCATATATATATATATATATATATATATACACATATATATATACATACATTTCACACACACACATACATATATATATATATATATATATATATATATATATATATATAGGTATTACTATATAGATAAATCAAATTAGTAGATATTTGCAACCCTATATACGTAACTAAGGTAGCATACACATAAACAAATAAATATTTATTCAATTTAATATAATGTGTAAAAAGAACAATGTGGTTAGACAGAACTAAGTAGTATATATTAATAAATATACATATATCTTTGTAAAATTACAACTAAAATTTTTGTTGGTCTACTAACTCATCAGGCACAAATTATTACTTTAGTATTATATATATATATATATATATATATATATATATATATATATATATATATATATATATATATATATATACGTTATAAGTGAAAAGAAAGTTTCGTTAACATATATATATATATATATATATATATATATATATATATATATATATATGGGGTCGGAGTGCGTGTGTGGTGTGGGCAGTATGTAAATGAAAAGAATATCACAATATGTTGCCTATTTTAAAACCTACCCAGGCGCTGAATATGAGAGTGACGATAAAATGAAAATTGGAAACACTGAAATTGCCTAAAGCAATACCTTAATTACAATATTACATTCTCCACAGCAAGTTCCATTGTGAATTAAACATATGCAGCTTGTGAATCAGGCTCCCCAGTGGATGCTTCCCCGATCAACCGAACTTAACCTCTTCAAGTCTAGCAAAGTATTAATTAAATATTAGAAGTAAAAAAAAAAAGAAGAAAAACTCGTCTTTCTAACGAATTAATGTCTTCTAGTTTCAGTAATGAAAGTAATTTTTTACGTTTTTTTTTTTATCCGACATTATTTCTTGTTTTTATAATCAAGAGAAGGAGAAATCTGAATTCAAAACCTGCGAAAGTTTGTTTGGGGATCTTGTGAAGTGAAGTGGTTTCCCGTTGCTTTCTCCGCGGTGGTTTATGGAGACACCACTTCTGACCATTGACTCAGAGTGTTCCTAATGAGGAAGAAATGGCTGAAGAATCTGATACTCACTGCTCTGAGAGAGGGCAAAAGAGATAAGGGAAAATAACGCATGGCATATGTAGCGGGATTAAGCAAGTGGATGACAGAACGTGGTCTTGGGTAGGTTGCAGAGGGACGAAACTTATTGAGAGCTTCAAAGGGGGAAGTGAAAAGCCATGATCGCCTACGTCCCTAAACAACACGATACATAAAAAGTTAGAAAAATATATATCACATCACAATACTTGTTAGAAAATAAAATCCTTACATTTGTTGTCGATAGAGTCCATTTAAATGACGAAACGCTAAGGTAAGTTTTCCTTTTGTCTTTATTCATAATTATATATGTTTTGCGTTAGTGCACGTGGGGTCTGCTATTCAAACTCATTGTGCGTTGCACAGTAACTAGAAAAAAAAAGATAAAACTTATTATCTATGCTGACGACACAGATATTTACTTCTGCCTCACTGGTAAGTCTCATCAGTTGAATAAGGTCATATTGGCAGCTGGTCTAAAAATTTTCTCTCAATCTACTCTTAACTGGGCCAACGAATGTCTTGTTAAATTCAACGCCTCCGAAAAAAAAACAAAAAAACGTTTCTCTATTAATCATCTGAGAGACTCCTTTCTGCCAGCCACCGACACGGCTGATGAGAGTGACTCGTTTTGCCTTTTCGGGTCAATATTCTCGGCTAACATGAAATGGAAAGATTATATTGAATCAACTGCCACGTCTGCTGCTAAGTAAGTTGGTTCACAGCGAGGTACTAGAAATTTATCTCTTCCGAATCTATCTTACATAAGTGTACCATTCGTCTTTGCTTCGAATATTGCTGCTATATATAGTCTGGTACTCCCACTATATATGTAGAGGTTCCTGATAAAATTCAAAGAATAATCTGCAATGTTATTGGTCCTGACTTGGCATCTCGGATCCAGTCCTTTTCCCACCGCCGTAATGTAAGCTGCCGATGCCTTTTCTATAATGGCAATTGTTCTGAAGAACTTAGACGTTATGAATTTAAGCAGTGGCGGCAAAAGATTTTGCCGTTGAAATGGTTAACTGCAACCGTAAGTTTAATGCTAGCAGTTTCTTCTCGCACTCCTCGCTTGTGGAACTCTCTTCCGGCTGCATGGTTTCCAGCCAGCTTTTTCAAAACTTCAAATGCAATGTCAATCGTAATCTACTGTTTTGATTGATTCCAGTTCTTTTATTGTTCTAGTTCCTTAATAAAGTTTCTCTATTGTCCTCTTCTTTCACATTCAGTCATCCCCTTCTGTCTTAGGGGCTTGACTGCTTTGCTTGAGGTGAAGTGATAAAGAAAAAATAGATGAAATTTGAATCAAGACTTGAAAAGGTTACTGTTGTAGTGATCGGGAAAGCATCATCTCGGGAGTCTGTTTCGCAATGTAGTGGTTGATGAAGATGTCCAAATAGGACTTCCTCCTTACCAATGGAATACAAAGAGGATTAGGATGATTCGTTCCCTTGTACATAGCATTGGGTGTCCTTGCTGGAAGCAATTAATGTAGCCATAAAGATCATGTGGAATTAATGTGTTTGGCTTGTCAGAACATTTTCCATGGAAATAGCGAGATGCTTTTGACCTTTTATCTGTGGGACAGATGTTGTAGAGTTAGTACTCTAAGACAAACTCATCAGTTGGTGCATAATATCGGGAGTAGTGTATTGCCATTTTGTAAATATGATCTGTACCGTGTACTACCATACTTTCTGCGTATTATACGGCTTTAGTACAATACCAACCCGTATTTCTAAATCTAAAAATACTAAATAAATTACATCCCGAGAGTATAGTACCACCATTGCTATGTTTTTTTTTAAAGTTATAACTTTTTATCCATTAAAATCCTAATGTCATACATATATTTCACTAATATCTTCAATATTGGAGAAGTGGGGAAAGGAGGTAAAGAAAAACGAACACCCACAAGGAGTGTACGTGAAAAACGATCTGTACATCATCGTGACATCAAGTAGACCCATCTGAAAAGTATTCTACTTTCTTCTGCATTAGACGAGAAGATTTGGACGAAAATTAAAAGCAAAATAAATAAATAAATAAATAAAACAAACTTGATTTTGAGGCTTTTCAGAAAACAATAGAAACTTCGTAAAAAAGAAAAACAATATAAAAAAAATCATTCCTTATCGCTTGCAGTACCAAATACTATATCCCCAAGTACACGTATTCAGGAATATTTTACCCTGCTTGAAAAAAAACAAAAAAACTCTTATTTCAAACAGAAAGATTCCAAATAAACTCAATTGTCACGACAGATAATGACTCTCAAATTAGGCAGATGTTGATAAGAATTTTTAACAAAAGGTATTTAATATATTGGCAATATTTGTTCTTTGAGAATCAGAGTAATTGAAAGAGTCGAGGAGCTTCACGGCGACAAGGGAATTAAAAAAAAAAACGGGGAAACAGATGTGAAAATGACACCAGGAGAATAGCAGGCATTGTTTGTTGATTTTGATGGAATTGATTTTGAGGGATTTTGAATTTAAAAATGTTTAAAATTAGAACCGTTTTGCTCCCGACATAAATCTTTTCCTCTA